TATGTTTCATTCTTTATATTGCACATACTTCGGTATTTTTTCTTCGATCAATTTGTGTGTAGTGCTTCGTAAGGAGGCATTTCAAAAACAGTGAATTGGTCACAGAAAGTTTGCCATGGAGCCCTGGAGGATAAAAAAGATATGGGGTGGCGCAGGAGAAAATCAAAGCTATATCCTCGTTCACCAGTCGGGTATAGCTTAGTGGGAATATCTTTTATGAATTTCTATTTTCTCTTTGCTACTAATTGCTCTGATTGGCCATGAAATGTGATCAAATAATTAACATGAATAACACTGAAATATCGAAATGTATGTTTTTTACATTTAGTTCAGAAACAAACGAAAAAAACAGTTTAACTTAGCTGTGCGTGACATTCTATTTGAGTAGTACTTCATTCAATACAAGGTGGATAATAAGTAAGATGTTAGTAATACTGCAATAGATTGGCATAATACTAAAATTTAAAAAAATGCTGTTTCATTGATTTATATTGCATATAATTTATAGAGTTTGGTATTTTTTCTTCGATCAATTTATAAGCAGCGCTTCGTATGGAGGCATTTCAAAACCGCTGAAATGGTTACGGAAATTTGTGTTCACTACCGGGGGGTAAAAGGGTGAAGGGTGAAGCAGGTGAACCTATATCCTCAGTTGCGTTAAGTTCCGTGTGAGTCTCTTTTGTGAAGATTTTGCTGTAAATTGCTCAGATCAAATGTCTGATAAAGATCCTGAAATTCCCCCTCGAATTTCGAGATCATATTAATATTTTTTAATTAGACTGGAACAAACTAAGACGAGTTTAACTTAGCTGTGTTTGTCATAATTCATCGTGTAGAGAGTGAATAAAAATAAGATATTACTAATATTCAAAGAATTTAGTATGAAATATCACAGAATTACATAAATATGGGTTATGTTATATTAACATCAAATATATGAAATTGCAGAAATAACATAGAGTGTACGTAAAATGCATATAATTTAATACCTTTGAAAGATCAACTACATTTACAATGAATGTTACTTTACACATTCATAAATGTTAAACAACTAGTTTCCTTAATATTTTCAGATTCACATTATCACCACGTCATTTAATGAAATATTTTAGAACTCGCGTACCATTGTCAGGTGGTCTTCAATTTATTTACATCTGTTCAAACATACTTACAATTAGTAGCTCATGAAAGTTAATAAGCGAAAGCAAATTAACTCTCGTATTCTCTCTAATGTCGTTACATACGTATATGTCCCATTTCTTTATTAATGAAGCTATTAATATTCACGTATCACCTATTCAAACATCAATACCATCAACCATGATTTATGGAGAAAACGTTTCGAGCTAATTACCTAGCTTAGTGAGTTTTACTATTCTAGACTAATATATTTCTTGAATCAAATTTATCTCTTCCAAGAAATTATCTGTCTTTAAACGGAAATGTATGGATTAACCAACTCATATATTTTTAACTCTTGTATACTGCTAATCACTGTATTAATTTGACGTGTCAAAAGAATTTTGAAACGTTTTTTATCATCACTTTACAAGCATGTATGACTTTTTTTCTGTACTTCAAAAATATAATTGTTACAGAAACGATACGATTTCAAAGGGACCTCAGATGATTTGGTTCTACGAAATAACAATAATAAATGCAAATATCAACAGAATGTGAGTAAACCGCACTTGACATGGTTTGTAGAAAACAACATAAAATTGATATCTCGTAGTGACATTCCTAGATGTAGTCGGACAAGGATTAAAAGGCATTTTAATACCCTAAAGTTAAAAGTTTCTTCGAATAATTTTAGCGACATTTTAATTAAACCATGATGTAATAAAGTATCCGTATAGCGTACATAGATGCTTGGTTTCATTGAAATATGTATATTCGGATACAAAGTATGATAGAGAAAGAAATTCCAAAGTTTAATGACTTTGAATATTATGCAAAAGAAAACAGTTGGAATGCGTGACTTACCAACGTTGTTCCTCCTATAATGTCGCAAGTTATTACTCAACAACTACACAAATATTCAGAGAAAAGTGCATTATATAATTCAAAGAACTAAAATTTAAGGATAAATTGCATTTAGAAAGAAATATCTGGCTTTATTATTAGATATGTCAGACAGGTTTCAAAATATATTTAACCTTATCAATATTCACATTTTCAGATGCTTTAGTAAAAATAGTAATTATGTAATTTTTATTAACACATTTTCTTCTCTTCTGTCAAAACAAGCAAAAGTTGTAGCTATTTTCTTGAAAATTTCGAAAATGAAGCTTCATGTAAAGTATCTCAAACAATAAACATATCCTAATGATCTTTGGGACGGCACAACTAGATTTTACTCTTGATGTATTTGCCCCGTTTCAGCTCAAAAGATTATAATTTGACAGAGTTATGCGTACCACATCCATCCATCCATACTAACAGAAACATCCCGATTTTGGGGTACAAAATTGCATACACTTCTTTATACATAACTTTACGGCCTTTGGAACAGTATTAATTGATTTTTGAGTGGTTCAGTACCAGAGCTTCATAACCCACGAAGTCGTGAAGCCCCTTATGCCTATGAAGTATGGCTCTGAACGATACTATATTAATGCCATAATTCTTTATCATTGTGAATGAATGATTGCATACATGAATGTATTGGCACAAACGGAGAGTTTTGGCAAATAAAAATTAATTAATTTATTCACAGGGATGAAAAAAATTGGTACTTATACAACTGATAGTTCAGAGCCATGCTGCAGAGAAACACTTAGTTGGTTAGGTAACTTTGGTACTGTACTCGTCCACTCATTTATCCTGATAGTGTGCAAAGTGACAGTTCAGAAAAACCTTAAAGACGATATTTCGGTCGAAAAGTCGAGATCGATTTGTTCAGGTAACTCCATCATTTATCGCTTCATTATTTATATCTTATATGTACTCCGGTATCGGGAAGAAAATAAAAACTGACAGGCAACCTCGGAAAAGATGGTAAATTTAGAAAATCGTGAATTTCGAAACTTACTATTACCTTCATTTCACTAAAATTTGTTTACTTTGTTATGGTCTCTGAAGAAATGGACGGTTTCTTTCAAAACGAGCAAATGCGTAAACATTTGATGATTTCTACTATGTTTTTTCCTGTTGTATAACAGTTAAAAATTTACAATCATGCAAAACATATAAGAAATTTTGAAATCGGATGCTCTCAGAAAAATAAGAGAATGAAATTTAATTTTATTCTCTTTTTTCAAATTATTAAGAACTTGTTTGTTGTTGTTTCGCTAGCAGTGTAACGTTTTGTGTTGGTTGTTGTTTCGCGTAAATTTCATAACCTATTAATCAACCCACGTACATGTACCAGGTTACACCTGTCACAACGTACCTTACGGTCTTCCTTCATTCGCTTGAGCGGTCCCTGCAAGTTGAACAGTTTGTCCCAGGACTTGTAACCGGCGTCGGGGCCTTACGACCTACCCGCAGCAGGTGAAGTTGTGGAGGGGTACTCCGCAAGAGGCCTGCTTAATGTTGCAGAGAGCCTGCTCGGCAGCGGTTAGTGTGACCTCAGAGAGGGGAAAAAACCTGTAAAAAGTGCACGGAAGGTTTATGAATAACGAATGAGCTAGGAGCACCTGGGTCGTCTGCCTCCCTTCGCAAGGGGGAAATGTGTGCGAAACTTCTGGAATATTCGAATCTTTCTGTCGCTGTTCAATGTCCCGGCTGTTAAACTGTTACTCGTTCATTATACATTTGCAGACGGAAGAACTAGGAACTAAGTTTGTTTTGAAACACACCTTCGAGAATGCTCGAATAGTGCTGATGCCTAATAGCATCTGACCAATGCTGACGCCAGCTGAGGCAGTCCGGCAAAATATCAATGTCATTAGAAATACCTCATCATTTAGATCATGTGGCTAGAGCTGTTGGACAATACACTTTGTCATCGACAAGACACGCTATTCACGAAAGGCTCTGAAAATATTTTTATTTCTCCTTTGCACATACATATTACACGATAGTTAAGTTCTTGCCCTTTCTACTTTGCAATGAGAGGGTATGTATGCCACTCACCGCCATATATATCATATTCATTGGATTAGTATCTTCAGTAGATGTGCGACTCTCATTCCGTAGGCGATGATCTCACGTAAACAGCTTGCAGCGGTCCGTTTCCAAATGAAACAAAACGACTAATACATTAGCGTTCGAATCATTCTATCGGTTGCGAAGGCTCAGAGTCGTCGTTATTTTCGCCGCAGCATCGTTCATCGGGAGGTCTTATGCCTCTAGTTCTAATGGTAGCGAATTTCTCACTCTAGCTAGGCACTAGCTCGAATTTAGTCGCTGTCGTGCAGAGAATTCTAGCTGCTGGTTGCTCTGATCGGTAGTTTTCCGTGATTTCTCTGATCAATATCAGGCGATTCACTGAGCAATTCCCTTGCAAACGCAAAAGGATCGTGCACAATCTTTCCTTCGTCAAACGCGTCCTCTTCCCCTACACACACACATCTATATTGACATACATGGAACGCACAACCATGCATGCACGGAAGCTTAGAGTTCATTCTTGCTGGTAAAGTACCTGGAAGAGGAAATCCTCCGATGCCAACGGATGTGACCATCAATATATTATAAAACCCCATCATTAATTGCAAATAGAATATTCAACCCTGTTAGGATGGCGATAATTTTTAATTTTGAAAGAGATGAAAATAGCTTGTAGAAATACACTATGAATTGCTGAAGAATCAAAATACTTTATTACAGTTATTCGAAATGCAAGCTAGTGATTATACATTACTTAAAAGTTACTCAAGAATAGGGGAAGTTGAAAACCATAAAGCCCCGTTCCAAAGCAATTAAAAAAATTATTTCATTTTATATTGTGCATTGAATTGAATGCTAGTCAAGGATGCCACTGAAGGAAAATGGATGAGACATTTTTAGGCATGACTGAAATGCAGTAAATAAAACATGTTTTATAGAAAACTAATTTATTATGCAACTATACAAATAAATTATTAAACTATACTTCATGTTATTCTAGATTTAACATTGACTAATGAAATATTTGTATTGTAATTAAAACAATAAAACAAAATACATTTGTATGTAAGCATTCTTTAGAGAGATTCAATTATTAACAAACTTATTTTATAGAAGTATATACAAACTTAAATATTATCTCTTCATCAACAGAAATACCAGAAATTTAGAAAGAGCAATGTGTGTTTGATAATCGTAGAATTTAAGGACCATCATAACAACAGGAATGCTCTTTAGTTCTTAAGAACTGACATACAATATATAAGTTCTATTCCACACTTCATTTAAAAAATTTCTGAGTGGGAACTTTCAGTCAATTTTATTGTATAATTTCCGAAATAACAACCTTCATCATCGTGTCAGTCCTTTAATCTTTTTTGTTTTTCATTCATATACAGTTATTTAGATCATGTGACCACATTATGATAGCCTTGGTTAGATCTTACTATGAATTGTTTTGAATATTTAGTTCTTCAAATAATAAAAACTCAAAAACATTTATTAAGAATCCTTTAGAGTAACTTTGTAGCTAATTTTCTCACACAAGATAATAGTACTCACTTACATTTTTACTACTTCCAGCAAGAACACATAGCCGACGATAATATAGACAGAAAAACTTCAAAATAAAATATCGTCAAGTTGATGATTGCGAACCTTATTTTGGTGAGATTCAAATGTTAGAACAGTTTCTAAGTTCATAGAAATAAAAAAGATTGAAAAACGTCAAGTCTTACGAGGAACGTGGCAGAAGAAATATGCATTTCTATGATAATTAAAACAAATGATATTCAAATTAGATTTTACAGAGATTTAAATAGTAAACATCTTTTTATTTCTCAGAAATAAGTATAGATGAAGAGAAACATTGCTAATCCAGTTACTCTGCGGTTGATGCAATAAACAATAACAACAAAAAATCCAACGTATGATTTTATGAATATTGCACTCTATTTTGGAAAAAAACATATAATTATTATCAATGCAATGAAATAAGTGAAAGAGATTATATGTTGGTGATTAGTGGAAACGTTTTTATTGGTTAAATAAATATGAATTTTGAAAGAAATTGCGTTAATCCACAGTTTTTCTGGAGTTATTTATGTTTCATGAAACAAACACTGCAGCTCCCCAGCGAATTAAAAAGTTGTTGTTAATACGTCTTTGTTGAATATTTTTATTGTGCTTTTGCATAATGATGCAAAAATGCATTTGTCTGAGATTTAAATACGGTATGTTGGCAGTTGACAAAAATAAATATAAATTTAAATACTTTTACCATTGGTTGTTATTTATCTTCACAACGTGAACACTTTATTAAAAACTACGAAATATTTATGAAACAGGAGTTCTTCACTAGATAGCTGGCAACAATTTGGTATAATTTACTATCTGAATTCGATGTGGAAAAATGTTATATGAAGAACGTACCAAATATGTTTTTAACAACGTCGAAACTGCAAATTCACTATATCAAAATACTTTCAGAGATGATAAAATGTCGTGTATTAAAGAACATTTTCATCCCACGTTTCTGAGAAAGACGTACACTGACATTACCCATTTTAATAAGGAAGTCTGTGTTGTGTGTATCAAACTGAGAGAAGAAACAATATTAATCCTTTTCCTCGTGATTCGGCGGAACAGCAATAGTGTCACAAAAAGCACTCTGTTGCTCCGTTCCCGTGAAAAAGGGCTTGGGTTCAGTACTCTACATTGGCAACCCATCCCTGCTATTTGTCTCAAACGATTCTGCGTTCTCGTACATGTTAGACGTAAACAATAACTCCAGGGTTTACCCAACACGTCGTACTCCCCGAAAATGTCCAAAAATAATTTGCCAGAGAAAGCGATAGTTATCTCTAGTTTTCAGTTGACAGACATAAATATTAATTTAAAGCCTCTTTACCGCAAGTTGTTTGTTTTCTTTACAAAGTTTACTTAAAAAATCTATTAACAATAAAGGTAAGATAGTTGTAAAAGAGAAATTAGATTGTTAGAAACAATGGGTGTTCGATTTTCTTAATTAGATTTGAAAAAAATGTCATTTTATTTATTTAGGAAATGTTTAATAACTGAAGCAGTTACTGCAAACTTATCGTATTAGACTTAATTCCAGGATAGAAAATAAGTTATATGATGTATTAAGGCGAAACAGTTCATTCTATTTATAAGAAAAGAACACTGTCACACAAATTAGTCAATTTAACTTGTAGGGGTCGTCTGAGCCCCCTCACGTCACAAACAGAAAACAATATTACCCGTGTTACTCCGGGCTTGGGGGCACAGAAATCGTCTCGTACAAGGCACACTGGGGCTCGCTGCCCGTGCAGACGGGCTTGGGGTAGGCCCTGTAGGGCGGCGACCCGTCCATGCCCATTCTGTCGAAGGCGCAGGCGTTGCCGTGCAGCTTGGGCGTGAAGCGGAGCACCTGGTTGTAGCCGAGCACGTCGTACTCGCCGAGGATGTTCAAGGCGAGGCGCCCGGGCGCCGCGAGCTTCATCTCGCGCTCGGAGTGGCACTCGCCGTCGAAGCCCATGCGCAGGCGGCCCGGCGGGCAGTCGCCGCGCTCCTGGCGGCACACGGCGGGGCCGGCCGTCCACTGCTGCTTCGTCAGCACCACCACCTCGTCCGCCGCGCACGGCCCGCGCTTCAGCAGCGGGAAGCAGCCCGCGGCCTCCGCCACCCACACCTGCCGGGGTGCGGGGCGTGAGTTAATAAGAATAAGGCTCGCGGTATTGGCTTTGAGGCAGGCAAAGTCTTTCTCGCTCTCTTTCAACCTTCCTCTCCCATTATCTATCCTTCCCCTCCCTCTTCTCTCCATCTCTCCCCCTCTATCATCTCTCTCCACCACCTTCTCTCTCCATTTCCTCCTCTCTCTCCATCTCCGCCCCTCTCTCTCTCCCCTATCTCCTCTCTCTCCCCTCTCTTCTCTCTGCTCTCCTCTCCCTCATATTCCACCCGTTCTCTTTCCTTTTCGCCCACCTCCCACTTCATTTCCTACTATTTTCCCTCCATTCTCTTTCCCCTTGGTCTTCTTTCCCTTCCTATTTCTCTTCTTCACACACTCCATTCTCCTCCCTCCCTTCCCATCTTTCCCACCTCCATTACTTGAACCTTTCCTGTTGTTCTTCGTCTCTCACTCCCTTTCTACCTACCTACTTCCCTTCCTCCCTACCTTTCGCTTTCCCCCTTCTTATCTTTCCTCACCCACGTCTCTCTCTCTCTCTCTCTCTCTCTCTCTCTCTCTCTCTCTCACACACACACACACACACACAAACGAAGAAACACTCACTAATTCATCCAAGTCAGTAAATATGCAGTATATACATTCAGTCATACTTCTATAAACTTATTTTAATGCACTGCATTAGTGTTATGACGAGTATCCATTAACCGAGTATCCGAGAACTTTGTTACTTAATACTTTCAACTATTGAATTTTGTATTTCAACCAGGCATTTTAGACCAGGTCATGTAGTTGGGAGAAACGTATTCAAAATCCAAATATTTACCGACATAGATACAAGACTTTATTAATTTTTGAATAAGAGAACCAATTCTTTTTTATTCGAGACAGTCTGGAAAGTGATGCATAGTTTTACAGTATTCGGATATGATAGTTCTAGTGTTTTCTATACCAGACTCGAAATATACTGAAAATTCTTTCCGTATTAGTACTGAAAGTGCCAAAATAAGAAGCAAAGCACGTATCAACCCTTAAACAAAAAACATGTATGTTTTCATGATTGTCATTTTTACTAGGCTGTCGGGTGACGCCGCCTCGCCCTATCTTGTGCGTCGCTGATCAAGGTTCGCGACCGTGCTCCGGTCGCACGTCCGCAGACCTTTCCTCGCGCAGTTTGTCGCTCGCATTAGATGGTACTGTCCGGTGACCGCCGCGTCATAGGCGAAAGGGCCCGACGGTTTCCGGTCGCCATTCCGCGACCTTCCTCAGGCAATTTGCTCGTATTCTTGCTCTGTCCGGGTGACGCCCGTCCTGGGTCCGAAAGTTGCCGACCGTTTCGGTCCCTTCGCACCCTTCCTCGGGCAATCTGTGTGCTCGATTACTCTGTCTGTCCAGGTGACGCCGGTCCATGCGAAGGTGCCGACGCTTTCGCTGTCGCCATTCTGACTGTACCCTTCTCAGGCGATGTCAAATGCGTTAGCGAGGAAGGTCGTAGATTGGCGCGACCGAAAACGTCGGGCACCTTCGCCGTGGACGCGGTCACCCAGACAGCCGGGGAGTAAATACTGACTCGGCCGCGGGAAGCCTACGTCTCGCGTAATGATCCGCAGCCGCCAGGGCTCTCCTGCAGCTCGACACTCGTCGCGGTGTGGCCTAGGGCATTCATTGATTGCACTACAGTGTGCCTGCTTGTGGCTCACGTGTCAACATCTGTTCACGCGCCAGTAATGCCTCCCATCCTAGGGTTCGGACGCTACGGAATGGCTGGCAGGCATGGAATAATAGTCAACATTGCTATCATCAACGACGAATTAATATACCTTATGTCGATTTACTGCTGAATAGTTTCAAGGTATATAGATTGTAGATACTATGTAAAATTGGCACCCAAGTTTGTATAAAATTAGCTTAATGTACAAGAGAAGTTCTCAAATTGGTGCTCTGCGTTAATTAGTAACTCATTTCGATAAATCCGCTAGTCTCTTGCCCTCTAGTGACTTGTAACGCGCATGACTAATAGATAATAAAATAATAAATATATTATATTATTATTTATATTTATATTATTATTACTATATTATTTTTTTATTAATTTTTTTTATAATTTTATTAATTAATAATAATAGATTTCCAGAACTCCCAGTTAACAAAAGATCACTTGACATTAATATAGGACCAACTCTAGCGTATCGTCGGAATCAATGTTGTGTCTGCTCCATCTCCGAACCTATGTCTCACCTGCACATACGTCAAAGAAACGACCCCAGCCGCCACCTTTCATTACAGACGAGGTCGCGTAATGCCTGCTGTTGACGGTAGCAATCCGGCTCTAAAATTACACACCAGCCCCGAGAGAGTAATGCTTTAAACTCAATTCTCTTGAAAAATATTCATGTGGCAACAAAATGAAAGCGCATCTGCATACGCCTCTGATGTAAGCTAATCAGAGAGCATCAAAACGTCCTTTTTGTTTCTGGAGCTTCTTCGAGACCATCTCCAGCCTAGAACATCTCTATACTTACATTATTATAAAACTCACATACGTAATACTAATCAATAAATGGCGATGACCTAATATAATAGGAGTCAGATATTGTTTGAGTTACATACGTTATTGTTATCATTTTGTTTAAAGCGCAGAATACGACGAGCGATATTTGTTAAAGCTAGGTACACCGCTTATTACAGTTTTTAGCCACCTCTCGATGTGGATTTCAGCATTAATTGGTGTACACATGCTACAAACATATAATAATACATTTATGATCATTGCAGAATCGACGACCATTGATTGCAATAATAAAATTAGCAAATTGGTTCATCGGGTTGTGTCAATGTGGTTAGAGAAACAATTGCGTTGCGCTAACCGTTTCCACCACGTACATTATTTAATTTACCTTCATCAGGGCTAGTATAATACAACTGAACATGCTGAGGACAATACAACACTACAATAATTTGAGTTAATTAATAACATTACCCATACGCCCAAACAAATTAAATTATTTAGGTCTTCATGCTTTATCTTATCTAAGGTTATAATTTCATAATTTTTCATGTTTTTTGTGTTGTAATTTTTTATTTATTTATCAATCAATCAATATTGTAATGTTTGTGTCGTCTTCTAGTGCACTGTTCATTGTTATGTACTCTAGCCCTGAGCGAGACATTAAAGATTTCGAAAACGTTGCGCAACTAATTGTTCTCTACACAATGCACCAATCCCGTGAAACTTTTATTTGATTATATTTTAGTACGCAGATAAAATTTGCGCCGCCTCCCCCTGTAATTCTTTATATAATTAATTAATTAATCAAATTAATGTGTAGTGTTTATTGTCACCACCCCCCCCCCTCCCCCCCGCGCCCCCCCCCCCGCCCCCATGCCTTTCATTGTTAGTACTCTAGCTCTGACCGAAGAGAATTAAATATTTCAAACGTTGGGCAACTAATTGTCTTCTCACTACTCAATCACCAATCCGACGTCAACAAATTTTATTTGATTATAATGTGTAGCAATAAAATTCTGTCATCCCCCCCCTACTATTTGGATTATATTCAATCAAAATATAGAATACTTTACGACCATTTTACGTGAATTTAATTGTCTCTCCTCAATGCCTCTCCGTTCATTGATTTAGTATCTCGTAGCCCCAGACTGACGAGAAATTAAATATTTCGAACGTTGGCGCAACTAATTGTTTCTATTCTTAAACATCAAATCACCACATCCCTGTGAACAAACCTTTTTATTTTATTAAGTAATTGGCTTACGCAGATTGAATAAGATTGCCCCTCCGCAAACCCTGAAATTTTGAATTGAATTATTCAATATATATTGCAGAGCTCCGTTTATTGTCCTCAGATGCTACTGTTAGGCATTGTGATGTTACTCTACTAGATCAAAGTAAACTTAAATATGATTCTAAACAGATAATTGACAATCTCATATGTCCATAATTTTTTCTTGCTAAAACCAACATCACCCTAATGCCTCACTAACACTTCCATTTCCAGCAAACTTTGATGAACAATATTAATTTATTTGATCCATATGATTGGTAACCGCGAGTAAAAAATTTGCCACCTCACCCCTGCAAATTAATTATTTATATATCCCAATCAATCAAATATTGTAGGTTATTGTCGGCTCTTTGGCAACTGTGCTAAGTTAGATATTATACTTCTTAGACCCTGACATAAAGAAATTAAATATTTTTCGAACGTAGTGCGCATTCTAAGATGTTTTTCTCAATACTACACAAAATTACCACCAAATACCTATATAATGAATGACAAATATTATTTTTATAATATTATTGTTGGGTGTCACCGCTGACATATATATATGTGCAGCCCCTCTCCTCTGATCAGTGCCCCTGGTCCGAGAGCTGGAGCAGCCGAAGGAGGCGCCGGCGGCAAAGAGTCTCCCGACTTTACCGGTTAAGCGTCCGTTGGGTCATCTCTCGCAGCATGCAAGGCTAGGTCACCGCGCCAGCGCTGCTTGCCAGAGCGTCAAGATCGATCAACGCAACGGCCTCGGCCCAGGGCAGCTGCGAGTGCTTTCCGTGCTACCGGTTAGCACATAGATGGCGTTGATCATTTTTTATTATATTCTACTTCTTTTACTGTACTATTAGTGTACCATTCTTGTTTGGTCGTGTTATCATTCGAGGCTGTTAATTAAAAAACTTATGAGCGACATTGGATCACGATATGATGGTATATGGTAGTGAAGGTGTCTCAACCTACCAGAGAAGCATAGTACACCCGAGGCGTACTCGAACACGCAGATCCCTTCGGCTAGACAGACTGCATGCCATTAAACCCAGAGTATACGCACTAATGTGTATCGTTGCTAGTGCATAGGAATTTTACATTTGGCAAACCACGAAAGTGGATTATGTCCTTTGCCGGAGACTCCATTTGGGGATCAAAGTTCCGCGTCCCGGTTGGCTAACGAGTCTGAGGAATATCCCCTCCCTAACACGGAAGGTTCATTTTTGCCCCGGTGCCTTAGCTTTTATCTTTTTATTCGAGATCTAAGTTTTATAGAACAAATTTGTTTTGTGGGTAAATTAGTATGCGATTGTCAATATTAGACAGTCATCGAAAACATTACATGTTTTGTTTAAAGGAGTTATACGTTGCGTTTTGCTTCTTATTTTGGCTACTTTCAGTTCTTTAATTACGTGAAAAGAACTTCAGTATATTTTTCGAATCTGGCGGTTAAAAGATAAGACTACGATGAATCGCTGCCACCGACCGAACTACATACAATGTCGTTGCAGTTTTACTGTCAACCAATAAATGCATCACTTTCCAGGTCGATTCTCGAGAAATTAAGAAACAAATTGAGAATTGGTATTAAACCTTAATCATTCAAAGTATTATTATTTCAATATACAATTAATTCCATGTTATCGTAACGTCTACTCAAAACATACAATGGCCCAGTGTTTTCTGTGTAATACGTTTTTGCGCGACTGCGAACTACTGATGGGACAAACTGAGTCCAAATAACAAACTCACAAGTTAATAATGATCAAAAAGGTTCAAAATAAAATGATGAAAAAATATTTGAAAACCAAATTTCAATATAGAAGGCAGATCTTTCCTAGAGATAGTAAAAGGTGCGGAGGTTGAGACGTACCTAGGGAATAAGTGTGAGTTTTTAGATATTGCTCAATAATTATAGAAATCCCTCTAGTGGTCGTATAACCTGGGACTGACGCCCTGTGTGGTTGGGTGTTATTTGTGCCTCAGTTGTGGGTTGTAAAAATCCCCTCTTTTATTAATCTATTAATATTAGAATGAAAATCTTATTACTATTCGTGCCATCCCAAGTGTTATTTTTCAAAATATAAAAACTTCTGCACTGCGGTGTAAGTGTAAGTTACTTCACTTGGTGGGTCTGTGGAGAAAAACTCTAATTTGTTCGGTCATATTTGTTTTAGTTACATTGAAAGCGTGTAGAGTATATTATTCGCGGGTAATCGAAATCTTTAGAGATTGACGGTTTTAAAGAAATTGTTGTCCAATATGAATGTTCTGGAGACGAGCTAAATTTTTGATAAATCCTCTTGTTAGTATACATTTTAATGGAACCATTTAATTTTCGTACACCCGAGAACTGAGTACTTCAATTATAGACTAAAGCACTAACATTATTTAGAATGTATAGAGGTTTCTGACTATCTCTCTAGGTTTGTAAACTAACTATGTAAGATATATGCTATGTAGCTCGGCGAACGTTATGAGTGTGTTGAGCTGGCTTGGCAGGATGCTGAGTTTATTTGTGTTCGTAATGCGTGTAGGTTAGTGACTGATCTGTGTGTGTCGTGAGACGTAGAGAATTTGTATAGAGACAAGAGAACAGTCCCTGGATAGTGCGGTAAAGTGAGATTGAGAGTAAAGTGAGGGTAAGTGCAGCGGGAGGGATATGTTCAGCAAATAATACGAAGCAAGAAAGAAATGAGGCATAAGCGTCTATAATGTGCATGAAGCGTAGAGCAAAGAAGTAGAGACGTAAGGTAGGTAGGCATAGAACTAGAAAGAGCTATTAAAAGAATTAGTGGAGAAACATTATGTAGTGAAAAGCCAGAACAACATCAAGGAAAGAAGAATTGAAATAAGGTAATGGAGGTCGCGAAAGATGGGAAAGAAG